GTATGAAAAAAAAATAAAGGCAGTACGGGGGTTTAGTGAACCAAACAAGAGCAGTTAGTAACAGTAGAGGTTATAAAAAATAGGTGTGTTCCAACCCCAAGTGTTGGGTAATACTATATATAAGTTACTAATTAAGACTAACTAGGTGCATATAGATAGGACATATACTGAGCATAGCCAAGATTACTTCTAGAGATAAAGTAGTCCTAATGGTACAATATGCCTAGGTTATTAGGTAGTTTCTATTTATAGAAGTAGGAAGGTATGATCAGAGTATTTAAATAGACAACTATGTAGTTTGGGCTGTAGATATAGTAGCTAGTGTAGAACTCTAGATTAGTAAAATAACTTAGTTGCAAACTACTTAAATTAGATACCAAAAGTATATGTGTAGTTAGTTGTATTCTTATTGTAAATTCTGAAAAAATTATAACACTTAATAAATTAGCAATAAAGTATTGACCAAATAGAGGTTACTGTTAAAAAAAAAAAAAAAAAAAAAAAAAAAAAAATTTATTAATTCTTATCTACTGTATATTGCATATTAACTTTATTAATAATCTGATTTTAAATCTTTTTATATAAATAAAATAGCATCTAATTTTCAACAAAATTAATTTTTTACTAAAGCTATTGAATCAAGTAGTAATGACAACAACAATATAGATTTGGATTTAGATAACAAATTAAGAGATTATGACTTAGAGCTTGTTCAAATTCTTTCATTTTATTTACAAACCTTAAACCAAAGAATTTTTTATAGTCATATTTCTAAATCAAATAATTGGATAAAGAATGTATTATTTAATTATGATGAAATTAGATTTAGAAAAACTTTAAAAATGAACAAATCTATTAGTAAATCAAATTCAAAATTATTCTGCTTTTTATTCTAATATAAATAATATACAAATAGATATTTAAATTCAACTTGCATTACACTATTTCATTTTGAATCTTTATCAACTATTTGGACTATTTCTATTTAGTTTGGTATTGCTAATGCACTATATATTTAATTATAAATAGAGTAATTACTACTATAAAATTATTAAAACTTGAATATATTAAATAGTCACAAGAAGATTGTAAAGAAGAAGCTTATAAAGAATTTTAAAAAATACAAAGACTTTTTTTAGTTATTGAAGCAATAAATAGTTCATATATATCTTGATTTGAAGCACCTAATAGAATTAATAAAGATATATATTTTTTTAGAAAATATTAATATGAATTTATCTTTAAGAGATTATAGATTGTTAATAATGTAAAAGTATTTTAAAATTCAAATATTTATAAACAATTAGCTAATTGGTTTGAAAAGGAAGAATATCTTTTAGAAGATTCAGCATATATTTTACTTTCTTTTGCTATTACACTATTTAAAGTTCCAAATAGAACACACTAACAACAACAAATAAATTATAATATTAAATATAGTAAAACTTGATTATAGTTACACAGATATTTGGATATTTAAAAATAAGATTTCTATTTTTAAAATAAATAAAAGTTAAAGATATACCAAAAGGTATAGAAATTATGAAATTGCATTGATTTTTTATAATTTTATAGAAAAAAATTGAGATATATAGAACAAATAGATTATAATAATAATGTAATTAAAATTCAATTTGAAGAAGATTTTGAATTAGTTGATCAAGTTTTAAAAGAAAATGAAACAAATTTATATAACAAAAACCTTGCAAAAATAAAATAACAAAATTTATTAAAAATAGTTTTATAAATTTTTTATATTTAATAATTATTATTATTTTATATATACTTTTATTTTTTTTAATATATTTTTAATTTTTAATATTTTTATTTTTTAATAACAATATATACTATTATTTTATTATTATTATTATTATTTTTTTTTTTTAATATTAAGGTGATTACTTAGGCCATTAGTATAAGCTTTATTCAGGTAGTAATAATATTATA